ACAGTTTTCCACTAAAAAAACTTCACTGAAGTAAATTTTTGACTTGAATTTGAAATATGATCGTGTTTAGAATAAGGATATTGAAAGAATTGTCTCCATTTAATTCAAGCACCTTATTACAGTTAATACGGTTTTTAATTAACTGAGAGATTTCACTCTCTAAAAATTGACAGAAGCAGTAAAGTAAGCAAAATCAATGAAAATAAAACTTTTACTTAATCGTGGTTTGGGTATCCTGCAACATGTGTATCATCTCCAGTTGATAATATACAAGTGAAGGTGTTGAAAGTCTCACGATGCACATTTTATGGTTGATCGCGTGAATCACTGAATTTCTAAGTGGTTTTAGGCGTAGCCTTATAATATGTTATATGATCGCAAATGGATAACACATCTAGGTGTCTAGCCTTCATTACACAGCACTAAGCGTAGTCAATGGATCAAATTTGCAGTGTGATCAGACATAGATGAAAGTGCATAAATGCAACTATAAAGAAACTATTGAACTCACAATGATTCAAGCCTGCATAACCTAATGAGCTAATTTTCTTCATTCAGATATGCTGATAATGAAGACGGTTAATGTATTCATACGGTCAGTTTGTGTCAAACTGTAATCAACATTGCTGAAGACAAAACTGTATATTCAAAAGTACTTGAACCTTGGCATCAGATGACAATATCTCTTTGTTAACGCTCCCCATGAATGTGTTTTGTGTTATCATTGACACGTTTTGTGTATGTAGCTATTAAACAGAATGATTGAATGCAATTAATTTCTGTTCTTGATCTGACTAAATGCAATGATGTGGGATCCTAAATAATATTGGAAATCTATTAAAGTGTAAGCGTACCATATTTTGAAGTAGAACACGTTACTTTAAAATATGCTGCCCAGTGTTAACTGTAGACTTCACAGTAATGGCTTCTGCAACTGAAAAGTTTTCATACCTTTACAACCTTCATTTTTTTTCTTATTACTAAGTGAAGAAATTTTAACACAAGTTGTTATGCAAACATTTTAAGATGGAAAACTACGGAGATTTGAAAATGTGAGTGCTTCTTTGTATGGTGCCTCAAAGAGATGAGCTTGACTCACTAATGATATGACTGAAACTGAATTTTTCTTAAGCGGGATGCTTTAAATGAAATCAACAGTATTTTTGCTTTTGCAGTTGAATAAAAACGAATAGAGCTTATTGTCTAATCTGTCATCTAGTGTGAACCAAAAGTAAATCGAATCGCTCACAACGGTCAGTCATGTTGGTTGACAGTAAAATATAAGTCTTCGTTAAAGTAAGAAGTGGATTACAACACAGATGTGGTAACCTGAGTATGAGCAATAAATCTTTTTTTTCACAGTTAAGTAACGCAGTAGAGTATCTAGTAGGTAATTTAGGGGGCTTTAGTTTAAGCATCACAATCAGCTATGTCCATTTTGGACTTTATTTTTCGTCATTACGTGTTAAAAAATGACAAGAAGAAATTGTATTTCCGTTATTTATTGATTTTATGTTGAGGCAAGTTTAGCAATATACAGTCTCACTTCTGTTTTGCTTACTTCATACTGGTGTTCGCCCTTCACTTGATA